AGAGCCCTTTGAAAACCATTCAGCCCTGGAGATCGCGGAGCAGCTGACGCTGCTGGATCACCTGGTCTTCAAGAAGATCCCTTACGAGTGAGTGATCCCCGTGGGTCAGGAAAGGTGGCCCTGGTCAGCCAGGGGCGCACGGGCAGCCTGGCTGGGCTGACCCCAGAGACTGCAGAGCCTTCCTGGCCTTTGCCAGGAGCCCACACTCGGCCCAAGTGCAGCTTTGGAGCCCTGTGGCTTCTCTGCTTTTATGGGATGTCCCAGGGTAATCGGCTCACGGAGACCCTCCCACAGCCATCACACCTTCAGCCACATCCACAGGGTCCCTTTCCAGCAGTGTGGGCAGAAAGACCCTGGGATCTCCATCCTGTGTGGATGCAGTGGAGCTTGCAGGGCTAGGACACCCCACAAAACTGGGAAATAAAAGTTGACCTGAGCACTGTGGTTTGCAGAGAATTCTTTGGGCAAGGCTGGATGAAGCTGGAGAAGAACGAGAGGACTCCGTACATCATGAAGAACACAAAGCACTTCAATGATGTAGGTGCAGCCGTGGGACACAGGGGGATGGGCACAGGGGGATGGGCACATGGGGATGGGCACAGGGGGCAGCTCAGCCCCTTCCCCAGGGCTGGGGTGTGGGAGGGTCACCTGCCCCATGGGTGCTCCCTGACCCATGGGCCCTCCTTGCCCCACGGGCCCTCCCTGCCCCACGGGCCCTCCTTGCCCCACGGGCCCTCCCTGCCCGGGGAGCCAGGGCAGGTGGAGCATCTCCTGCTGCACTGCTCCTCGTGGGGCTGCCGCAGCACCGGGAGATGTAAAAGCTGCCGCGAGGCTGGGGCACACGGAGCAGCGCCCAAACCACGCTAAAGCCCGTCTGGGGGCCGTGCCTGCCCAAGGTCAGCAACCTGATCGCGTCGGAGATCATCCGGAACGAGGAGATCAACGCGCGCGTCAGCGCCATCGAGAAGTGGGTGGCGGTGGCCGACATCTGCCGCTGCCTGCACAACTACAACGCCGTGCTGGAGATCACCTCCTCCCTCAACCGCAGTGCCATCTTCCGCCTCAAGAAAACCTGGCTCAAGGTCTCCAAGCAGGTAGGGCTGCCCCCCCCGGGGAGGAGGGCCCTGCTGCAGTGGTGGTGGGGCAGGATGAGACGCCTTCAGAAGAGTTAGAAAACGGAGAAAGGCGTTTCAGGTTGTGCTCAGGAGGGAGGTGGTGTGTGGACAGGCAGACCCTGCCTTGGAGTTGGGTTTAGTCATGGAATCACAGGATTGTTTGGGTTAGAAAAGCTCTCTGAGACCGTGCAAGTCCAACTGTTCCCTCGGCACTGCCAAGGCCACCACTAACCTGTGTCCCCAGTGCCACCTCCACATATCTTATAATCCCTCCCCTGACTCCACCACTGCCCCGGGCAGCTGTGCCAGGGCTGGACAGCCATTAAGAAATGTTCCCTAAATCCAATCTAAATCTCTTCTGGCACAACTCCTTTCCCCTTGTCCTGTCACTTGTTACCTGTGAGAAGACACTGGCCCCACCCTGCGAGCCAGACGTGCAGTTGAACCCGTCCACGAGAGCCCCTGTAGCTGCACACACAGAGTCTCTCTTTAACTGCTCCTCTTGCTCCTCTGGGCTCCACGGACCCACCATGGGGGAGCAGGGTGAGTTCCTGTTTGAGGTACGTGCTGCAGGAGCAGCTGGCACCGCCTGGTGCACAGCCAGACGGAGCTGAGCTGGCACCACTGTGGGCCCCCATCAGCCAGGAGTGTCACTATAAAATGATAAAACGGAATGAAAACAGGTGCTGGCGAGGGCAGAGAGGGGGCAGGGGGAGCACAGCCTGCTCACCCACAGCCAGGTGTGACAGCCAGGGCAGGAACAGCTGCTGGGGTGAGGTGCCCTGGGCAGGACGGGCTGGAAGTGCCCCTGTGGCTCTGTGCCCCTGGCCGCAGGGTGTGGGGGCTCTCCCAGGGCCCCACCCAGCAGCATTCTGGTTTCTTGCAGACTAAGGCTCTCATTGATAAGCTCCAGAAGCTGGTGTCGTCGGAGGGCAGGTTCAAGAACCTGAGGGAGGCACTGAAAAAGTGAGTGAATGGTGCTTCTCCTCCTCCCCTGGCTGTTTGGGGGCCTGCAGGGCGGCGGGACCTGAGCTCTGCTCCCATAATCGTTCAGAGTGCTGTCCTGTGGAGCACAGTGGCTGGCAAAGTGATCCCCAGCTCAGCTGCTCCTTTGTGCAGATGTGGAGACAGGAATGAAAGGGACTGCAAAGGCAAAAATCACTGCCAGACACCAGAGAACAATTTTCTCCAGCACTATCACAGAATCATCAAATCCCAGCATGGTTTCCTTTGGAAGGGACCTTAAAGCTCACCTTGTTCCATACACTAGACCCCCTTCCACTAGACCAGGTTGTCCATGGAAGCTTCTGAAGGTCTTCCTGACCCTCTGTCAAAGCTCCAGCTCATCTCCTGCGTGCCACGGCACAGCCACAGGTCCTGCCTGTCCTGCTGTGCTGGTGGGGATGAGGCCAGGGGAGCAGCAGCCTTCCCTGGGAGAGCCTCCCTGTATTAGAGAGAATCCTTCCAGCGCTGCTGACTGCAGACTTGTCCCCTCTGCCCTACCCTGCCTCAGGCTCCAAAGCGAGAAAGTTTTACTCCTTGTTTCTTTCTGGTTCACTCGCAGTTGTGACCCTCCGTGTGTCCCCTACCTGGGCATGTACCTGACTGACCTGGCGTTCATCGAGGAGGGCACCCCGAACTACACCGAGGATGGCCTGGTGAACTTCTCCAAAATGAGGATGGTGAGAGCTCCAGCCCACTGGCGTGGGCACAGGGGGCCTGTCTGGGGTGATGTGGTTGTGGCCACGTCTGTGTCCCCTCAGCCTTCACCTGCATGGCACCAGGAGGCCACATGTGTCCCCTGCACACATCTGGGGCTGCTCCCAGTGCCTGCAAGAGACAAAAAGGCCTTTGCATTGTGCTGTGCTGGCTGCCCCTGCCCTCCTGGGCACCAGGCCGGGTTCTCTGGGTGATGGCTGAGCCATGAGCACCTCCTGTGTTTTATCCCTGCACAGATCTCACACATCATAAGGGAGATCCGCCAGTTCCAGCAAACCTCCTACAAGATCGAGCACCAGCCGAAGGTACAGCCTTGTCCCTAGAGCCACGGGCAGGCTCTGCCCCTCACCTCCCTCTTCCTTCGCAGCATCTAAGCCTCCAGTACCTGGCAGCTCCGTGCTGGAGTCTGTTGGCAGGGTTCAGGGATGGGGGGAGGCTGTGGGGCTCCAGCAGATTCCCCCGTGGCCCCCAGGCAGTTGCAGCAGAGGATTTGCTGCAGAGAGCAGCATCGAAGGACTGGAGTGCTCCGAGGGTGCACCCTGGACGTGCTAAAAACCAGCGATTTCGGGGCAGCACCCCTCCCCAGGGAGTAGAGCGTGTCCTGCCGCCCCGAAGTGCGGGGAAAGGAAGGTCTCGGAGCCGCAGCGGCAGGCTTGGCTGCTGTCAGGCTCTGTCCCTCCCGCCGCTCACGGCCCCGCTCCGTCCCCAGGTGACGCAGTACCTGCTGGACCAGTCGTGCGTGATGGACGAGGAGTCCCTGTACGAAGCTTCTCTGCGAATAGAGCCCAAGCTGCCTTCGTGAGCGGCGCGGCCGCCGGACGCTCGCTGACCCCTGTACATAGGCACGCCCCAGGGCGCCCTGGAGCGACCCCAGCCCGCTTCCCCGGCCCCGCCTCGCGTAGGATTCCCCGCCCGTCCCGGTTTAACGCGCGACACTTCGCTGGAGTCCCGGGCTCTTCTCCATGATGTTACTTTTGTCATTTGTCCTTCCTGGGGGGCTGGTGGTAGGGCAGGTGAGCCCCGTGTCCCCATGGGGCAGGTGAGCCCTGTGTCCCCACGGGGCAGGTGAGCCCCGTGTCCCCGTGGGGCAGGTGAGCCCCGTGTCCCCATGGGGCAGGTGAGCCCTGTGTCCCCATGGGGAGGGTGAGTCCTGTGTCCCCACGGGGTCCCTGTGTCCCCATGGGGAGGGTGAGTCCTGTGTCCCCGCAGGGTCCCTGTGTCCCCACGGGGTCCCTGTGTCCCCGTGGGGCAGGTGAGCCCCGTGTCCCCGTGGGGCAGGTGAGCCCTGTGTCCCCGTGGGGCAGGTGAGCCCCGTGTCCCCGTGGGGCAGGTGAGCCCCATGTCCCCGCGGGGCTCTGGGGCAGCACAGAGCAGCTCTCACTTGGGCAGTGCTGGCGGTCACATCCCAGCTCTGTAGGGTGGGAGAAGGGAGCACATGAAAGGTTGTCCCTCGGTGTGAGCCGCCCGCTCTGTGTGTGCCACCCTCGTGCTGGCTGGGCACGGGGGGCCCTGGCTGCCACCCTGGTCCCTCCGAAGTTGGGAAGATGGAAGCATCCCCTCGCCTCTCCTCGCTGCATCCGGCTCCTGTTGATATGCTGTAGATCCGTACCCTTGTGCCCACTCTGAGTACCATGACGTAGAGTTAGAGATGACGAGTGTTTTTATTACATCTACTGTAATCCTGGCTAACCACCCGCTAGCAGGATATAGTAATGTAGTGCTTATTCTGTGAATAGTACCTGGGTTTTTTACATTGTACAGTCCCTGACACGGTTCCCCGGCAGTGGCAGGCATGCTCCACTCACACAACACTTGCTGTAAGCAATACCTCGTGGTATGGGAATTCTCTTTCAAGCCCTAAAACTATTTCAACTTACAGCTTGTTTGGGAAGAAAAAAAATATTTCCATTTTTTTTGTAAAAATATATGTTTCCTGATTACCTCTTGCTAATAAATCTATTCTATCTCAGGGTGAACCGGGGTTTGTGATGGTTTTGCGGGCGGGATAACGCCGGACCCGCCGGGCCGCGCCCGGTGCCGGTGCCGCGCCCCGTGCCACGCCCCGTGCCACGCCCCGTGCCACGCCCCGTGCCACGCCCCGTGCCACGCCCCGTGCCACGCCCACCGGCTGCCCCGCCCACCCCGCCCTTGTCCCGCCCCCTGGCAGCGGCTCGGCCCGTTCCGGTCCGCTCGGCCCGGCTCCGCTCCGTCTGTCCCGGCTCGGCCCGGCCCGGCCATGGGCTGGCCCGTGCTGCTGAGCGCGGCCGCGCTCCTGGCCGCCGCCGCCGCCTGGGAGCCCTCGGCCGAAGGTACAGGGGCACCGGGAGGGCAGGAGGGGACTTGGCACGGCCTGGCCCGGGCCGGCACGGCTCGGCTCGGGCCGGGCCCGGCCCCGCGGTGCCGGGGAAAGCGGCAGGGACCGCCGCTGACGCGCCCGTTCTCTCCGCAGAGGAGCGGCTGTTCAAGGCCTGGATGCTGCAGGTGAGGCTCGGGGCAGCGGGGCCGAGCCGGGCCGGGCCGGGCCGGGCCAGCCGAGGTCGGGCTGTGCTGACCCGCGCTGTCCCCGCAGAACGAGCGGCGGTACGGCCCCGAGGAGTACCCGCGCAGGCTGCGCACCTTCCTGCGCAACAAGCGGCGCATCGAGGAGCACAACGCCGGCAACCGCAGCTTCCAGAGTAGGAGCTCCGAGCCCGCCGCCCCCGGCCCGCGCGGCTCCGAGCGCCGCGCCCGGCTAAGGTCCCCTTTCCCCTTCCAGTGGGCCTGAACCAGTTCTCGGACCTGACCTTCGCGGAGTTTAAAAAGCTGTACCTGTGGAGCGAGCCGCAGGTGAGCGCTGGGGTGGGGTGGGCAGGGAAGGGGGGTGCAGGTGCACCCCTGCGGGGGCTCTGGGGAGGTGCAGGTGCACCCCTGCGGGGCTCTGGGGGCTGCAGGTGCACCCCTGCGGGGCTCTGGGGGGTACAGGTGAACCCCTGTGGGGCTCTGGGGGGTGCAGGTGCACCCCTGCGGAGCTCTGGGGGGTGCAGGTGCACCCCTGCGGGGCTCTGGGGGGTGCAGGTGCACCCCTGCGGGGCTCTGGGGGGTGCAGGTGAACCCCTGCGGGGATCTGGGGGGTGCAGGTGCACCCCTGCGGGGGCTCTGGGGGGGTGCAGGTGCACCCCTGCGGGGGCTCTGGGGGTACAGGTGAACCCCTGCGGGGGCTCTGGGGGCTGCAGGTGCACCCCTGTGGGGGCTCTGGGGGGTGCAGGTGCACCCCTGCGGGGCTCTGGGGCGTGCAGGTGAACCCCTGCGGGGATCTGGGGGGTGCAGGTGCACCCCTGCAGAGCTCTGGGGGGTGCAGGTGAACCCCTGCGGGGATCTGGGGGGTGCAGGTGCACCCCTGCAGGGCTCTGGGGGGTGCAGGTGAACCCCTGCGGGGATCTGGGGGGTGCAGGTGCACCCCTGCGGGGGCTCTGCAGTGCCCTGCACCCGCTGCCGGGCCAGCACCCCCGGCTGTGCTGCCTGCAGTGCGCTGGGACCGGGTCACATTGGTGCCACCCTCACTGGGGTAAGGGCAAGGTGAGCCCTGTTCCCCACCCTCACGGCTTTCCCTGCCGGCTCCAGCCCAGCTGTCCCTTCTGTCCGCTCCCTGAGCGCTGGGGCTCTGCAGCCAGGGCTGCGGGCTGCTGCTGACTCCCTGCTGCGGTGGCCAGTGTGCATGGGCTGCCCTCTGGCCCTCACCCCGGGAGGGTGGCTGTCGTGGGCCACCGGCCTGGCGGCTCCCACAGCCCTCCTGCCCTGCTTGCAGAACTGCTCAGCCACCAAGGGGAACTTCCTGCGCAGCTCTGGGCCCTATCCCGACTCCATCGACTGGAGGAAGAAGGGGAATTTTGTGACACCCGTGAAGAACCAGGTGAGGAGCGTGTGGCCAGAGAGGGGCCGCTGGCTGCGGGCAGGCGCCGTGCCCCAGGAGCAGTGCTGGGTGCCCGTGCCAGGGGAGCTGCCCCGGGGCCGTGCCGTGCCTGCCGTGTGCCCTGCAGGCTCTGCACTGCTGCCGTGCCCCCCTGCCCCGGTGGCTTGGGGAGGCTGGCGAGCTGCAGCACCTGCAGCAGTTCCTCTCCCGTTCCTCGTGCAGGGTCCCTGCGGGAGCTGCTGGACCTTTTCCACCACGGGCTGCCTGGAGTCTGCCATTGCCATTGCCACGGGAAAGCTGCTCTCTCTGGTGAGAGGTGTTCCTGGGCTTGGGCAGAGCCCTCGGGGAGCAGGATGGAGCCAGAAGGGCTGGAGGCTGCCGGGAGCAGGCATAGGGAAAGAAGCCGTGCCTGGCCTTGCAGCCAGTCTCGCTGCAGGCAGCACATTGGGACATCGTGATTTTTCAGCTCCCGGGGGATTTCTATTCCTGAAGAACTAGAAAGACAGTAGTCGCTTACGCAACTTGGCGGGATGACTGAGGGTTGGGTGTGTTAAAAACAAACCTGACCTTTGACATCTCAGCCAGTCCTTGTGGGGGGGATGGATTCTGGCAGGTGTGAGAGGAATGCCTCTGGCAGCCAGGGCATCCCAGGCTGCTGGCTCCAAGTCTTCCTTGTCTGCCTCGCTGGGACATGGAGCCACTTCCAGGGGACTCCCTCGGGTAAACCAGTGCTGTGGTGGTCGTTACAGCCAGCTGCAATGATCAGCCAGCTCTCAGTTCCTGCTGTGCAGTTGCTTTTTGTGTCACTGACTCTGAGCACAGGTGTGGGACAATCGCTGACTCAAAACCCTTCTCCGCAGGCAGAGCAGCAGTTGGTTGATTGCGCCCAGGCCTTCAACAACCATGGCTGCAGTGGGTAAGTCAGAGAGGGTCAGGAAGAACAGAAATTAGAATATCTTGCATCCTGTGACGGACATCCAGATGTAGTGTCAGGATCCTTCCACATTATGGAATGGATTTTGTCTTCCTTTGGCTGCAATGTGACGGAGGAAGCAACTTTGGATTTTGTTGCCTATTTTAATTTCACCCTTCCTAGAGGTTAGGATGTTTCACTAAATCTCCAGCATTTCCCAACCTCTGTTGTTCCTCATTTGTTAGTTTTTATCTGAGACGTTTTTCACACAGCAGCCATAGGCTGGGCTCTGATGGGCTCTGGGACAGCAAGGGGATTTCTGGCTGTTGTTCTGCCCCAGCTCACGTGCCCCTTGTGGCACCCTGAAGAACCCACAGAAACTTTAGCTTCCCCTTGGGGAAGTTCCTCCTGGCTTTGCTAGAGAGGGCAGAGAATAGAGCTTTTTGACAACTTCTGTTTTCTGTGAGATCAGCTGTCCTAGAGGGACGCTCAGAGCTGAGCAAAGCCACTCTCGGTGCTTTTTATTTTTCTTGTGACTCTGTGACTCCTCCTTAGGCGTTTCCACATCAGCACTCCCCGATATCTCTCTTTTCTTCCCTCCTGACATGTGTTTCTGGAAGGTGGCCAGGGAAGGGAGCAGCTGCTTGCTGGAGATGTGGGTTTCTCATTGTCCCCTGGCCAGGCTGGGCAGAGGGCACCAGAAAACACCTTCCAGCATGCAAGGCTGGTGCTGTGTGGGCCAGCTGGCCTCACAGCATCGGGGCTCCTGATGTTCTCCAGGGATCTGGCACCTGGAGAATGAGGTGTAACCATGCCTGACTGCCCAGGCAGGGAGATGCTGCAGGCACATACTGGAGTCTGTGCTCTGCAGGCTCTGGGACAGACACTGCCCTTCCCTGTCTCCCTGGCTGTGGGAGTGGTGTGCAGAGCAGGGAATGTTGATGGCTTTGCCCTGCAGAAGCTGCAGTTACCTCCCAAATCCATCATGACCATCCTAATGAACCACTCACATCCTAATGGAGCTGTTCTCTCGCAGGGGCCTGCCGAGCCAAGCCTTCGAGTACATCCTGTACAACAAAGGGCTCATGGGGGAGGACAGCTACCCGTATCGGGCCAAGGTACTGCGGCACAGCCCGGCCTGCTGGCAGAGCAGCGCCTGGCACAGGCTGCCACAGCTCCTCTCTGTCCCACAGAACGGCACCTGCAGGTTCCAGCCGGAGAAGGCCATTGCCTTTGTCAAGGATGTGATCAATATCACGCAGGTGAGGCCCCGGGGCTGCGTTTCCAAACTGCCAGAGCTGTGCCAAGGGGAGCTGCTGGCATGCCCAAGGCGTGCTGGGCTCAGCAGCTGGAGTGCAGCCTGTGTGCTCCTGGGGAGAGAGCTGCTGGGCACACTCCTCTCCTGAGAGAGACAGAGCTGCTGGGCACACTCCTGCTCTCCTGGAGAGAATGAGCTGCTGGGCACACTCCTGCTGTCCTGCACACCTTTTGGAAGAGGTGCTGGAGCCAAAACACAGGCCCTGGGTTCCTGCCTGCTTCCCAGAGTGGGTGCCCCTCCAGGCTGGGACACAGCCCCAGTTCTCCTACAGCTCAGCACTGGGTTCCGTGTCCTGCAGCACACCAGGGTTATCCATCCCGTGTCCTGCCTGCCGGGCCTGGACTGGTCCCAGCACAGCCAGGAGATGATGAGGATGGTGACCCTGGATCCTCTCTTGCAGTATGACGAGGATGGCATGGTGGAAGCTGTGGGGAGGCACAACCCAGTGAGCTTTGCCTTTGAGGTGACCAGTGACTTCATGCACTACAGGAAAGGAGTGTATTCCAAGTGAGTGTGTGACCCTCGTTTGGTGAGGTGAGGGCAAGGGGAACCTGTAGGGATGGAGTCACATGCGTCTCTGTTTCTCCTGCTGGATGCAGGAACACTGCAGTGCATTCTCACACTTCTTTTGAGTAGAAAATAGGAAAAAAAAAAGTAAACAGAGCCTTGATTTAGTGGTTCCTGAGGGGATGAGAGGGCAGCACAGGGAGGAGGGCTGCAGGCTAGGAATCTGTCCAGCCTGGAGACCAGGTTCAGGTGGAATGAAGGTCAGTGAGTCAGGCAGCTTGGGAGACCCTCTGCAGCTCCACACGGGCTGGGGCTGTCCCAAGGCTGTTCTGTCTGGGCTGGGACAGTGGCAGGTTGCTTAGGGGAAGCCCCAAGCAAGGAGGATTTTCTGCAGTGCCAGGGCAGCTCCCGCAGTGCCAGAGCTCAGAGGGGCGGTGGGGAGAGGCGTGGCTGCCCTCGCACTGCCCTGCCCCTGAGCTGGCACCTAGGCAGGCTGTGCTTTTAGCATTGCTGCTCTCCACAGGGCAGCTTCTGCAGCGCCTCTCCCCACGCGCTGCTCCCTGCACAGGTGGAGGAAAACAGAAAAGCCAGCTTGGGACACGAAGCCAGTCTGGAGCGTGGGGCCAGCTCCAGAGCCAGGGCAGAAAGCCCTTGGAAGGCTGATCAAAGCTGAGAGCTGAGCGAGGCAGCACAGACACTGTTACCCTGCGAGGGGGGAAAGCAGAAATAGTGTTTGCAGAAATAGAGAAATGCTTGGGAGTAATGAACCCCGAGACATGCAGAGCTGCAGGGAAAATGCCGGGGAGAGGCTGAGCCTGAGGGATCTGCCCCAGGGAGCTCTCAGGAAGGAGCAGGTGGTGATTCCAGAGGCTTTGCTGGGCCAATAGCCAGTGATGCCAGAGGTCCGTGCCAGCCCTGGCCAGGCGTGAGCTGTGAGGGCAGGGACGTGGTCAAAGGAACACGCCAGGGGCAGTTATCCTGTGGATTTACAGTCTAAGGTGGATTTGAAGTCAGAGTGCATGGAATAATTGATGCTCCAGTGCTTTCAGCCCAGAGCAGCTGTTAACAGATCGAAAAAAAGAAAATCTGAGATGGATTATTGATCTTTTCCTGTAATGCAGCTTGAAAATGTTTAAAAATAGATGCTCTTGAAGTGGGAGCATGTACCATGAGCTGTCTTCTTCACACCACAGGCAGCAGCTTTCAGCAAGTACAGTTTAAAGGTTGAAAATTTAGAGGAAACACATACTTAGACCCAAGAGCTCGCTGTTCCTGTGTAAAACATGAAGCAGTGCCCTTGAATTTCAGGGCAGTACAAACCAGCACAGGGAGGCACTTAGACCTGCTGGTTCCAATTGGGAAAATTCCTTTGCACTGTAGCTTGTCTTGGTGGGCCAGGAGCTCAAAAGTCAGTGGATCGCCTAGCTATGGATATGGCTGATAATTTCAGAGTGGAAAAACACAGCAGTGTCTCCTTGCCTTCCCTCCCTGCTCTCCGGAGCTGGGGGTTCAGAGCATGCCCCACTTCTGTCTGCAGAGTGTGGTCAGGACTGCTGGCCACCAGTCCCAGCTGAGTGCAGGCTGCTTCTGTCAGCACAGCCGTGTTGTCTCCCTGCAGCCCCCGCTGCGAGCACACCCCTGACAAGGTGAACCACGCCGTGCTGGCCGTGGGCTACGGACAGGAGGATGGCACTCCCTACTGGATCGTCAAGAACTCCTGGGGCCGCCTGTGGGGCATGCAGGGGTAAGGGGTCCTGCTGCCCACCTCGCTCTGCCTGCGCCTGGGACAGACCCCAGGGGCTGGGGGCTGGGCTGCCACCACCCTGAGCGCCAGGGCACCCTCAGCTCTCCAGCTGAGCCCTGGCAGCTGGGAGACAACGGGAATGGTGCCAGGCTGGGCAGGGACACGGCTCACCGAGCCAGGCCTGGGGTCACTGCTCCAGCAGAGCCTCGGCACAGTGGAGCTGCTGAGGTGCCCAGGGCACATCCAGCCTCTCCAGAGCTGCTGGATCCCCGTGGTGCCCAGGGCTCAGGGCACATCCAGTCTCTCCAGAGCCCCTGGTTCCCCCAGCTCCTCCGTGCTGGTCACACAGCCAGGGAGCACAGCTTGTGCCAGGAGTGAGATCCCAGCTCCACAAGTGTTCCCAGCTGCATGCAGGATTCTTGGGAGCGAGATGCAAATTCTGGTTCGTTCAGGGTGTGAGGGCCAGGGGATGGCATTGCCTGGAGGGGGAAGGGACCTCGGAGCCTGTCCAGTGCCACCCCTGCCATGGCAGGGACACCTTCCACTGCCCCAGGTGCTCCCAGCCCCGTCCAGCCTGGCCTGGGACACTCCAGGGATCCAGGGGCAGCCACAGCTGTGCTGGGCATCTGTGCCAGGGCCTGCCCACCCTCAGCTGCCACGCTGGCTCTGCCACAGGAGGAACGCTCACCCACAGCCATTTCTCTTCCTTTCAGGTATTTCCTTATTGAACGAGGCAAGAACATGTGTGGGCTGGCCGCCTGTGCCTCCTACCCCGTTCCCCAGGTGTAGCACAGTGCAGGGGGCCGGGGATGGAGCCACTGAGGGGCTGAGTGCCGGCAGGAGGGGAGCAGAGCAAGGGGCCACGGCCCCTGCCGGGGCTGTCACCTGCCGGGGCTGTCCCCTGCCAGAGCTGTCACCTGCCGCAGGTGTCACCTGGTGCAGGTGTCACCTGCGGAAGCTGTCCCCTGCCAGAGCTGTCACCTGGTGCAGGTGTCACCTGCGGAAGCTGTCCCCTGCCGCAGGTGTCCCCTGCCGCAGGTGTCCCCTGCGGGCGGCTCGGCTCGCACAGCCCCGCTGCAGCAGCACACCCGGTGCCTGCCCGCTGTGACCGAAGCCTGGGTGCTCCTGTGCCCCTGCCGGTCCCTCCAGGCGTGCCCGGTGTGCCTCCGTGCCCTGTCCCAGCCGGGACACACCTGTGGAGCAGCAGGGACACCCCACGGGATCCGATCGAAGCACACGGAGCTCCCCGTGCCCCTCGGGTGGCTTTTGGTTTTGCAATCACCACGTGTAAATTTCAGCGATTTTATAATTTTCTCTGAAGGCAATTTCCCTGTTCTTTAATGGAAGGATGAGTGCTGTGATTTGTACACTTTTACCGATTTTCATGAGATGCCCGCTATATTTTGTATTAAAAACCAGGGTGTTTTAAATCACATAGAGAAGAATCGCGTGGTTTTTCTTTAACGCACCAGCGAAGACGCCAGACCCTCGGTGCCGGTTCTGACCCGGCGCTGCTGAAATGAAGCCGGGTGCGAGCCGGGGCACGTCCGTTATTTCACACAGACCCGTCAGTGGCAGTAAAGCTGCCGTGACCTGCGCGCGGGGGCTGAGGGGCTGCGGCCGTGTGTGGCGCAGCGGGGCCGGGCGCGGCCTGAGGGCGGCGCCGCCATTTTCCGTTGTTCCCGCCGCGCCGCCCGCCCCGGCGCGTCACTTCCGCCTGTCCGTGCCGGCCAATGGCGGCCGGGCGCGGTTTTGGCGCGGAGCGCGGCGCGCCCCCTGGCGGCGGGCGGCCCGCCATGGCGGCCGTGCCGCTGAACAACCTCCGCGAGCAGCTGCGGCGCCACTCGGCCCGCGGGGCCCTGCGCGCCCCGGGCCCGCCGCGGGACCGCCCGCCGTGAGTACCGCGTGCGCCGGCGCCGGGGCGGCCGCCGCGGCCGGGCACTCACGGGGGCTCGTCTCTTTGCAGGGGCTTCACCTTCAAGAAGGCGCCGCGGGGCCTGGCGGTGCTGAGGGACAAGGACGTGAACACCTCGCTGGCGCTGCCCGCCGCCGCCCCGCCGGACTCCGCCAAGGCGCCGCCGCGGGGCTGCGTTCCGGCCCGGGCCCCCCCGAGCCCCGCGGGCCCCGCGGCTCCCGGGGCCAGGCCGGCGAGCGCCGCTCCCGCCGGGAAGCCCGGCCCCGGCCCCGTTATCACCATCGGCGATGAGTGGGACGACATCGACGACTTCGACCTGTCGGGACTCGAAAGGCGGCTCTCCGGGCCGCCCGGGAGGCCGCCGGCCCGCCGCAGGGAGCCCCCGCGGCCGAGCCCCGGCCCGGCCCCGTCCGGCTCTCCCGGGGCCGGGGGAACCGGCGGGGCAGCGGCGGAGGCCGAGCCGCGGTCCTGCTCGCAGCGCTCCGTCATCTGCCTGGAGGACTCGGCTCCCTCGGCTGCGGAGGAGGCTCCTGCCGAGCCGGCCCGGGATGCGGACAGCGCCGGGGCTCGCCCAGGTAGGTTCCGAGCTGCAGGACAGCTGTGTGTGCACCCAGGGGCTGTGTGTGCACCCAGGCGCTCTGTGAAGTTCCATGTGCAGAACTGCTGTGTGTGCACCCAGGGGCTGTGTGTGCACCCAGGGGCTGTGCGAGGTTCCGAGTGCAGAACTGCTGTGTGTGCACCCAGGGGCTGTGCGAGGTTCCAAGTGCAGGACGGCTGTGTGTGCACCCAGGGGCTGTTTGTGCACCCAGGGGCTGTGCGAGGTTCCAAGTGCAGGATGGCTGTCTGTGCACCCAGGGGCTGTGCGAGGTTCCAAGTGCAGGACGGCTGTGTGTGCACCCAGGGGCTGTCTGTGCACCCAGGGGCTGTGCGAGGTTCCGAGTGCAGAACTGCTGTGTGTGCACCCAGGGGCTCTGTGAGGTTCCGAGCTGCAGAACTGCTGTGTGTGCACCCAGGGGCTGTGTGTGCACCCAGGGGCTGTGTGTGCACGCAGGGGCTGTGTGTGCACCCAGGGGCTGTGCAAGGTTCCAAGTGCAGGATGGCTGTCTGTGCACCCAGGGGCTGTGCAAGGTTCCAAGTGTAGGATGGCTGTCTGTGCACCCAGGGGCTGTGCGAGGTTCCGAGCTGCAGAACTGCTGTGTGTGCACGCAGGGGCTGTGTGTGCACCCAGGGGCTGTGCGAGGTTCCAAGTGCAGGATGGCTGTCTGTGCACCCAGGGGCTGTGTGTGCACCCAGGGGCTGTGCGAGGTTCCAAGTGCAGGATGGCTGTGTGTGCACCCAGGGGCTGTGCGAGGTTCCGAGTGCAGAACTGCTGTGTGTGCACCCAGTGGCTGTCTGTGCACCCAGGGGCTGTGCGAGGTTCCGAGTGCAGAACTGCTGTGTGTGCACCCAGTGGCTTGGCCAGGAGTGCACACACAGCCCAGGCCTCACGGGAGCTGCGTGCTCGGCACTGGCGGGCGGCCCCGGTTCCGTTCTGGCTGCCCGCAGCCCGGGAGCGGGGCAGCGTTCTGTCCGTGCAGGAGTTGCAGCTGCTCATGTCCTGCCGTTACCAGACTTATGGCATTCCTCAAATGGTCAATAATCTATAGGGATACTATGGAGAGAAAAGCACTTAGAAAATTCATACAGGAGAGACGTAAAGGCATCTTACACTTAAAGGAAGTAATAAACTAGAAAAAGTGATGGTTGTCCATTTTTAGCACAAACATAAACACCACAAAAAATCTCCAGCCCTAAGTTATGATCACAAATTCCTTCCTGTCGTTGCTTTGGCAGCTCTGTCCCACAGAACTGCTTTATTTTAGATTCCTTACCCGCTGTGTTTTGAAACTTTGGACCTTTATTTGGGAAGTTAACATGTTTATGCAACTGAATAACATCAAAGAGTGTTCTGGGATGCTGCCCTTACACTGAATGGTGGAAAGATTTGTGAACTGTATTTGTGCTCATAATGTCTTGCTGTCTTTTCCTTTGTCTGTGAAATTAATTTTAATAAGTTAATGATGTTGACCACTCTTTGTAGGATTGGTCCTTTAAGACACAATACGTGTTCATTTGCCTTCCACTTCCAGTACACGGATTGTGCCAGCTGATGACTCTGCACTCTTTTAAGGCTAGGATTTAATATAATAGGAGCTTTTTATAGAAACAGGTTTTATAGAAAACTATTGCAGAAAAATAGACCTCTTCAGATTTTCACTTCTGCCAGGGACAGGTGACTGTAGCTTTAGCTGTATCACTTTTCCACTTAAACAAGGGTTTGTGGGGATTTGTCTGTCTGTTTTAATGGGGAGAAAAGGGAGCAGCAAGTTCTATCCTTTAAAAATCAGCAGCTGTATCAAAGGAGTGTTTTGAAGTCTGGCTGCTAATCTTTCCCCTCTGTTTGTGTGCAGTGTTGCCCAGCAATATCAGTGTGCTTCTCTTGCAGCTGCGGGTGCTGAAGGGGTTCAGCAGGAGCCACAGAGGGCTGGGAGCAGCTCCCCAAAACTGGACGAGGCCACCTGGCCGTGGGCAGGCGATGAGCTCGAGGAGGATGACCTGGACATCATCCCTCCCTCCCCTGAGGGGGAGCTGCCTGCCTTCTCCCCCTCTGTGCAGGGTGCCAGGTAATCGGAGCTCACTGCTGAGCCATCTGCAGGAGCAGAAAAGTGCCAGAAACAGCCCAAAACTGCTGCCTGTTAAAGAGGCACACGCCTACCTTGTGTCTCTGTGCTGCTGGGCAGGCCGGTGGCTGGCAGCTGCAATCAATGCTCTATTAAATACTGGTTTTGTGGCCCATGTTTTGGGTGGCTTTCACTCCAGAAAAAAGCAGAATGACTTTGGTAGTGGGGTGGGAGAAAATTCCGCACGTTGGTGCAGAGGATGAGTGACTGCTCAGCTCCTGGTTCTGCCTGGGCCTTCAGGAATTTATTTTTTCCACATCTTAAGTCCTGCTGATCTATGGAAGTGCCTCAGTTTACAGAGATCTGTATTTTCAAGGCTTTTTCTTTTGGTGTTAGCAGTGTTTTCAGAGATTCTCCCACTGATGGAAGAAGCACAGCTGGCAGCTCCGAGGCCAGGCAAGAGAAAGTTCCCACAGCACATCCTGGAGGTGATCCTGGAGGGGATTCAGGTACACAAAATGGTTTGGAATTTCATATTTCAGATTTTGGGGATAGTTTGCAACTATTTATTATCCTGTATAATCCAAGAACGTAAACTAACAGATGGAGAATGAGCATCTGTAGATGGAGAGTTGACAGAAATGGTTGGATTGTAGACGGATAATAAAAGACAAGGGCAAAAATACATAGATTCATTGAGTTCCTGCACACAGACACGGTTTCTTTATGCACATGGACTAAAAATATATTGGAAGTAAATTGTCTAGACTGATTTAATGCACTGTCCTCTGGGAGAGTGGCATCCTCTTGACTCATGTTGTGATGCAAATGACTGTGCTGAGCTCCCTCCCTGTCGTAGGAGAGGCCGTGCCTGTGGCCCCGCGGCTGTTCGGAGTCATGGAGGCCATCTGTGAGCTGGTGGATGCCATCCCCCTGCAGGAGCTGCAGGCCCTGCGCTGTGCCCGAGCCCTGCTGCAGCACAGGGAGCTCAGGTAGGTTGGAGAGCTCCGAGTGGAGCCGGGAGCTGCCTGCAGGTGTCCCCGCTCACTGCCGAGAGAGGCAGGAGGGGCTGTAGGCAGCTCGGAGCACTGAGCAGGGAAAAATACTGCCAGTGCCAGGGGTCCCTGTGTGCTGCCAGAGAGAGGAGCCAGTTCCACGGGCAGCCTGAGGAGTGCCTGGCACCAGGTGCTTCTGCACCCACAGCTGCAGCTGGGATGTGATGATGCAGATGTGCCGATGATGTGACCTGCCAGGTGTCTCCTCAGGTCTCCTGCCACGGGCATTCAGCTGGTGTTGTCACCCCTCTCGCTGACTGCAGGGGTGGTGATTTCTCCTACTGTCCCTGAACTTGTCATCTCCCAGTGGAATTATTGCTGCCACAACCTGCTGCTCTGTCTGCTGCGTCATCTGATGGCACAGTGCATGGACAAAGTCTTGGGATTTGGGATTTTGGTTAGATTCTTCCTAGACTGGGACCGTGAACTTCTGTAGATGTTCTCAGTACAACAACTTATTTTATTTCTCATTGCTGTAGTCAGACACAGTCTTTAGAAAGTACCTATAAACATTATTTGGTTCAGGCATACTATTAACTTCAGGTTTTGCCTCTAATGATTTATTTTTTACATTTTGGATCTGTTCCTTGCTTTTAGGAATGATGTTATATTGTGTCTGCAGAGATGATGTCACAGTTTTGTCATTAGTTTCTTCTGGTGGTAGTCTCTCTTCCCAAGATTTGTTTGGAATTATTTTCAAACATGGTGACTCAGAACACGATGAAACCACCATATGTTAAGATGTTTAATAGCAATGAGACAAAACTGTTTAATGAATGTTGTAGAACATGGTAAATCATTGCTTGT